AGGAGGCTCTGAGCACCATCTGCAAGATCGCGGAGGACACGGCGAGGAGGATCGTGGAGGAACAAAACAGCATCCTGGAGCACCATCAGAAGGAGGACATCAGCGAGGAGAAGCTCACATACACAGAGGTACGGAGTAAAGGAGTGGAAATAGCTTACATGAAAGTCAGCTTGAAATGTTTTTCTTTAACAAAAAACCCCAAAAAAGACAAATTATATTACACAGATTGTTTTTTTTCTTCCTGAGCTACTATACAAATAATCAGATTTATTTTCACATGCATAATCAAACAAATTCAGTCTTTTTTTTTTATGTATGTCTAGTAAAACATTTTCATTGTATGTTTGACTAGAAGCAGAGATCCTCTGGGACAATGTGTTTTAGTAGGAGGAGATCAGGCTTTTGCTGTGACTGCTCCGAAACTGCCTTTACATATCAGGACCTCTCCAACACTGGATAAAACTCGTTTAAAGACCCATTTTTACTCTTTGGCTTTTAATAATGTATGAGTCATTATTTTATTCTTATTTTTTTCTTATCTTTTATTTTACTTTCCTTTTAAATTTTATCTGATTATTTTATTGTACAGTACTCTGGTCAACATTTGTTGTTTTTAAAAGTGCTATATAAATAAAATTGATTTGATTTGATAGTAAAATGAATTCTGACTTTTTTCTGTCTTTATCGCAGATGAAGTCTCGCTGGAAGCAAAAGGAGTTCATGGCGAAGTCATGGGAGGATTATGTTTCTAGGACTTCAAACTATGAAGCCCTGAAGGTTTAAAGATTTTTAACTATAAATTCTATCCTAATAATAATAATAATAATAATAATAATAATAATAATATCTAGATTCTCAGTATAAGTAGTAAGTGTATATTTTTGTTATGCGCTTTGTATACAGGAAGTAAAAGCACAGAGGGAGAAGAACGCTGAATCATCCAGACCTAAACCAAAGCACGAGGATGCTGCTATCCGCCCTGCTGAGGTCTTTACACTTAACCTTTCATGACGTTTACAGGTCACCCGCTTCATTGATTTAAAATAATTAAATCTCATATCTTATTTGCACAAAATGGAGCAAAGAAAAAAGTCTATTTCAGGTATAGCTCATTTTCTGGTTCTGAGAATGAGCATTTTAATGCATGTAATGAATTTCAGCTTAATTTGGAGTTTGTGGCTTAGAAAGCATCTCTGAAATTAGTTTTAATAGTAGAT